GGGCATGTGGGGGGAAAGTCTTAGAGATAAGGTACAAAAAAGCAGTGCTGCTGCTGAGAAGGGAAGAGGTGAATGCTGCTGCTTAGAGGTGTTGTCACAAATGGCTAAACAGTGCAGGTATCTGCCACTCCAGATAACCGCAGGGCTGTTAAAAGGACAGCTGTTCACTAAGTGAAGCCAATCTTCCTGCTGTATTCTGTGACCTTCCTCTGCTTATCTGTGTACCTCTGTCCTGTGCTTCCCCACCCTGAAATCTATCTATCAATCACACTTACTTGCTTTGAGCTCAGCAAGCACTGGTTGCATGGGAGCTGGTGTGATCTGTGCCCCTCAGTGAGTTGTTTTAAGCCCTGGCCATTCCAGCTGATGGAGTACAGCCCTGGGACCTACAAAAAGCTACTTAACATCAGGCTAAGGTAAGAAGTTTTTGTCTTTACTGGCATTAGAGGGATTGCCTGCTTCCTAAATTTACTTCAGTGGGGTACCTGCCTGAAACATTGGCTCCTGGGAGAAGCAAGGTGGGAAACAAAGGTATTTGCAACCCTGACTTAAGAGCTAGCTTCTGGGTCCCAGTCTGTACTGTAAGTTTGCTCAGCTCTAGTGTTGTCCAGCATCTCGACTTAGTATTTAAAGTACTCTATCCATGCACAGTGTGCAAAGCTGAGCAATTGTTAGAATCCTTCATGGACTGTCACTGACACAGCCAAGGCACTATACAGCAGTGACTGAAGCCCTCTGACAAAAGTGGGGGGGACAGTATGAAGTGGTTAAAATATTCCAGTTCCCCTATACCATCAGTCACATAACAAACACAGCTCTAAAGTGAAAATAAACATGGCTTTAATGCGAAACAGTTTTAATGGTTTACAGGATAGCTCCAAGTATCTCTTCACCTACCATTTCAAGTCAGTGCCATCAATACCAGATAAGCAGAAGAGCACAAAAAGTATAAACATGCATCAAAGTAGTAAGCCAGGCCTCACTGGGATGTTACTGCATATCCCCCTCCCTGTAACACCATGTAGCAACTGCTCCAAAAGGCACAGAGGAGCTAGAGTGGTTTAAAAAAACCAACCCAAAACACAGGAAACCAACCCAAAATAACAATTGTAAAATTGCCAAGCACCCATAATCTTAAAGAAGTAGTGCACAGTGTAACAAGGCAGGCTTCACTTGCTGCTATCTCCTTAAATGTGCAGATTAATTAAAAGAAAGTTGCTACTGTAAACACTGCCCAGCCACACTAAGCAGAAGAAACTCAGCTGAGGGCCAGCAGGCATCAACTGGGAGAGAGAACAAGCTCAGCCCTATGCAAGTAACTGTGCCTGTTATAAGAATGGTGCGTGGTGCTAGGGCGACTGCAGCAACCTCATTTAAGTAGCAGCAGCACAAATGCAGCAGAACTGTCACCTGAATAAGGACAAATAAAATCTCTGCAGCTCTTCAGAAAGAGAACAGCCACGTCACATGCATCTTAGCTAACATGGAAAAGAGTCCCTGAGGCTGATGGTTACAGGGAAGTTAACCTATATGCCTCTGAGGGAGGGGCATTAAAACTGAATGATCTTAGAACCAGATAATAAAGAGTTTGATACAGATTGTGTGTCTTAACATTCATTGTGCTGGCACAGAACTTGTTACATCTCAGCAGCAGTGGATGATGGATTTCAGTACTGATCCTGATTAAGACTGGTCCCTGTAACAACACCAGAAGGGAAAAAGCTTTCTTCTGTGGTGGAAAACAAAGCTTTCCTCGTTGCTTGGTTACTCTAGGCTCTGTTCAGTTCCTGCAGTAATCTCAGTGCAGCTGTGTTCTTTGGTTCAGTTTTCAACAGGCTCTTGATATCTGCAATACTTGATTTGTAATCCTAGAAGGAGAATATTTTTGAAGTGTTAATGTATTAAAAATTCAGTCCAAGGAATTACTACCCAGCAACAGAGGCAAACGTAACACAACTAAGCCTGTGACTCCCTCTCTGTAATTGCTTAAGCACTGGCATCGGTGTAGCTGTTCTAAAACATGTTCAAACTAGGGCCGAGAAGACAATTTTGTCACTCAAGTGGATTCCAAGTCCAACATGAATACAATATGTCATCCAGTACTGCCTACAGAAACTCTCAGCAGACACGAAGAGATAAAACTCTACACATGTAGCTGCTTTCAGCATCTCCAGAAGCAGGACCTGACACTGAGAAACTCACGAGAGACAAATAGCAAATAGTGATGTGAAAGAAAATCCCCCCTCAGCCAGTACAGGTCCTAGCTATCTGACAGCAGATAGTGTCTAGCACAGAAACAAGTTCTAAAGGGCATCTCTGGTTCTGATCATGCATGAACAGCCTAGAAGTGTTCAAAACCTCCTGACTTACCTTCAGTTCTTTCAGTGCCTGAGCACGCCTGTAGAGCGCCTTAACATTTTTAGGATCTAATCTCAAAGCTTCTGTGCAGTCCTCTACTGCCTCCTTGTATTGCTTCAGAGTTAGGTAACAGAGTGCTCTGCAATACAGATACCTAGTTAGAGACCTCTGGCTAAAAGCAGCATCTGCTGCTGCAACACATGTAGCAGATCTCAGCACAAAGCTGGACTCCAAAACCGTTATGTCATCTTACTCCTTGAGCTCAAGTTTCAGTTAAAAGCAGGAAAAAAGAAAAAGGAGTTTTTCAGTCTGGAAAATAAAGAGGATTTTCAGAGCAACCCGCTCTAAACCTAAGAACCTGTATTTCAATATGCAGGTTCCTGTCTACATTAGCCAGATGTGCTCTGCTTGCAGCAATTGCCTTAAAAGTACTTTATAGCAGTCTGCAATTTGTGGCTCATGGGGCATCAGACACTACTCAAAATACCGCAGTCCTGGCAGACAAGCATTAAAGGGGGAAATCCCTGAGCACCTCCAAGGGCTTTTGTAGTACCTGATCACAGAACATTATAGAAACTACAGGGAAGACTGCACTTGGGGTGAACATGTGTGGTACTTTTGTTTTATTCATTTGTTTGGGAGTAAACATTAGCCAGCTCTGTCACAAGTACCATGATGACTTCTATAAGGGCCAGGAGCAGTGAGCTCTGGGGCAATGAGCGGGGTAGTACCTGTTGGTGTAAGTTGCACATTCCTGGTTGAGCTTCAGACTCTCACTGTACTTCTCAACTGCTTTCTTATGGTTTCCTTTCTTTACAAGTTCATTTCCTTCTTCCTTCAGAGTGCGAGCTCTCTCCAAGTTAGCAGCAGCCTTGTCTGGAAACAGCATGAAAGAATACAGAATGCTATAAAATAGGCAAGAGCAGCACAGCCTCCCAGAAAGCAAATATCCCCATACCAGAGGTGAGACACAGAAACATCATAGAATTCAGAATCAACAGAAAAGGCTGTGGCAGAACCAGGCCCAGATTTCTCCAGGCCTCAGCCCCAGCTGCAGGCACACCAAGCCGGTGTGGCAGCACTCTTGCTCATCACCCTCCTGAGCCGCAGGGCTCTCTGCCCTGCCCAAGGGCTCACTCTCACCTGGTTCTCTTTGCGGTGCAGTTGCAGGAGGAGTGTTTGCCCCAGGGGCTCCAGCAGAAGGAGCGCTCCACCTCGTCTGGGCAGAAATGGGGACTGTGGGGATTGGTGGGAGCTTCTGGCGCCAGTTCACACCATCCTTCTCCAGGAGGGCTTTAGTCATCCTGCAAGAGAGAGCTGGCAGTCACCCGTCTGCTGGCAGGGTAGGTCATGCATAGCCAGTCCCTTTTTAACCTGGCTCATGTATCAAGAACAGCATCTCTCCAGTAATCCCTTTACATGTGCATCTAAACTAAATTCCTTCTACAGCCAGGACAGTAACGAAAGGACCTTTGTATCATCAGGGCTAAAAATATCATAGGGCAAGACTGTTAGAGCTCAGGCAAGAGAGAGACGTGTGTGTCACTCCTCAGTCTGGCAAGCGATGAAGTAAAGCAGACAGGTCCAGGCAGAGAAAAGGATAACAACAGCCTGTAACCCCCGTCAGCACAGGGAGGCTTAAAGGACAGGGTGCTGGAACATGCAGATGATTATTTCCTTTAAACCAGGCACTGAGCAAAGCAGAAACAACGCCATGGAATTAATTCCCCCCCCTCCACCAAAATCTTGTAAGGAGCTAAGGGCACTAGCAGACAAATGGAGCATGGCCAGGTCCTGCATGAAGCATCAGAGGCCTCTGTTGCTTCATCCGTGTGCTTGGGACCCACCTTGCTCCTGACGCAGTGGCAGAAGCAACGCATGGCTCACCGCGCTGCCGCGCTCCCAAGCCTTTGGGTGCTGCCTGCAGAGAGCGTTACCTGTTGACACCATCGTGTGCCGCCTGGACGGAGCAGTCCACCTGCAGCACCGTCTTGTAGTCCACGTAGGCCTGCGGGTACCTCTCCAGAGCCTCGTACGCCGCTGCCCGCCTGAGGAGGGGCTTGATCCCGAAGGGAACCAGGTCGAGAGCGCTGCGGCACAGAGGAGAGAGCGGCCGGGACGGCGTCAGCCCGGGCGGTGCGGGAGCCCCGGCACGATGCGCCAGGCCAGGCCGGCGCTGCTCCGGGCCGGTCGCCCTCCCCGCCGTGCCTCCCGCCCTTTCCACCGGTGGGGAAGCAAGGGAACGAGCCCCAGCCCCGGCCCCGCCGCGGGCCCCACCGGCGCTCACCTATTGCAGTCGGCAACGCAGAGACTGCAGGCGCCGTCCTTAAGGCGGCAGGCGGCGCGGTTGGCGAGCAGCACGCTCCGCTCCTCGGCGGCGGCCTCCCCTGCGCCGGGGCACAAGCGAGAGAGGTGTTGAGCCGAGGTCCGCCCGCTGCGCGCCCCCCGCCCGGCCCGGGTTGGGTTGTGCCGTACCTGCGGCCTCCAGCAGCTCCAGCGCACGGGTGTAGAGCTCTGCGGCAGGCCCGTACTGCCCGCGGCGGAACTCCTCATTGCCGGCCCGGCGCAGGTCGCTGGGCGATGCCGCCATCGCGCTGCTGCCCGCGCCGGGCCGGGAACGCCCCTCTCTGCCCGGGCGGGCCGGGCGCTCCCCGCTGGCTTCCGGCGGCGGGCGGAAGCGGCGGTGCCATGGAGGGGTGAGGGCGTGACCGGCCGGAGGAGCGACCGCCGCCCGCAGCGCCATGGAGGCGGTGCAGCTGCGGAACCCGCGCCGGTGAGCGGCGGGGTTATCCCTGCGGGGAGCGGGGGTGCCGCGCTGCGGTCGGTCCCGGACCTGAGGGGTGTTGGTGCGGGGCCTCACGCCAGCGGGAGCGGGGCGGCCGCGCTGGGCTCCTGCCACACCGGCCCCGAGCTGCAGGGAGGCGGCCGGGGCTGTCGGCTTAGGTCGCTTCGCACCGGGGCAGCGCCGGTAGGTCCGTGCTGGGACAGCGCTGGGCTCAGGTGGTGGAAAAATGGCTTCAAGTGAGGTAGCGGAGAGGACGCTGCGTCCGGCGGCTGCGGAAGCTCCCACCGGTTAACGTGGTTGTACCGAGGGCGCGCTGGTGTAGCGGCTGAGCCCGCGGTTGCTTACTTTTCCAGCTCTTTGGGTGAGCTTAGCGCGGGTTTGTCACCGTCCCGAGCCCAGTCACTCCAGCAAGGAGCGGACGCGGTTCTCTGAGGGGTTTCGGGGCGATCTCTGTATGAAGCCGTGAGCCCCGTATCTCGGGAGGCCAGGCGGCAGCGGAGCAGGGCTGCAGGGGGTTCATCTGGAGTCAGCGGCAGTGTGAATGAGCGTCCGTCTGTCAGAATGCTATCGGTGGCTTGCAGCTGGGTCCCGGGGAGCGCTTTGGGCAGCGAACAAAGGAAGCTGCTGGCTCCCGCCTGCAGTGAGAGTCTTCTTTTGTTAAACAAACCAGCAGCGTGTCTCCTATTAAAGAATAATCTGGTTTTGTTCTCTAATTGCTTAGGCCGGTGTTTGACTGGAAGGTGATTCAGAATAGCTCTGGATAACGGCTTAGGCGAGACGGGGGTTGTGTTGCTGTTCTATCCGTGTTGTATAAACACCCCGTGGAGAGGCAGAGGTGGCTTTGACAGCAGCGAGCGCGCAGGACGACCTGGGCAGTGCAGAGTCCATGTGCTCCTGCACTGCAGCAGAAGTGAGGCAGTTTGATGCAAGCAGAAGTTGTCCGGTTGTTGTGTTTGGTTTGTGAAAAGCCTTTTCTTGTTTGTTTTGACCGGATGTGGACCCCATCTTAATGGCACTCAAAACGATTTGCCCCTTGCATCACTGCTTTTTGGGCTCCTTGGAAGTGGTGGCTTGTGTGGTCACTGATGCGTGCAGGTTTTTTCCCTTTCCTCCTCTTCCCTGCCCTTTCTCCTTCCACGTTCTCACGAGGACAAGTAACATTCTGTTGGTTAATGCTTATCTTTGCAGGGAAGCTAGTGACTGCTTCAGTATTTCACCACTTCCTGAGTCTACTTCTTTATGTTTCCTTTGCTTCAGGAAGCCATTGTATATACTCCATGCGTGAGCTGCACCTCCTGTATGGCTTTTGTACGTAAACATAATAGCCGGGGGTCAGTGATTAGGTTCTCATTCTGTTTAAGAAACTGGGGAGAAAATATATTTAGTATGAAAATTCGCATGTCCTGTGGTGGAGTCATGATCTTTAAAGCAGTGAGAGCTTTCAGTAGTTATTTGCAGTTGCAGGCAACCACGCATGTTTCATTTTAAGTGCTGCTCGCTGTGAGACCAGTAAGTTCTGAAAACTCTGAGAATAATGAGTTTCTGTGTTTCATAAACTTGTAAAAGCTGGTTTGGGGCATTTGGAGGGGTTTTTTTGGGTGGTTTTTGTGTTGTTTTAGTTTTGTTGTTGTTGTTTCAGACTTTAGTTGTGTGAAAACCAAAGAACACTCATTTGTGGGCTCTTGCTCGACAGTAAAATACTTTGTTTTCAGCTCTTTTTTTTTTTCTATGTAGTTCTTAACTGTTTCAGGAGGTTTTTTGATGAACAGCTGTTGGTGTGGTAGGGGTAGACTGAAACAAATGTGGTCAGTTCTTGTTGCTTTGTGGATGGAATCTCTCTGAAAGTTGTACTGGAGACCAGTGCGGCTGAGTGAAGGATCACATAGCATCCCTTCCCTAGGAAGTATTTCAGCTGACTCTTGTTATTAATGCATTTAAGAGGGATGGACCAAGCAGCATAAAGATCCTGAAAGATCAGTTTCCTTTTATTTTTTTTTCCTGTTAGAACTTTCCTAGTATATGTCCAGGCTCACAAATTTAAGATCTGAACTTCTGGTATTAAAAATGTACAGGTGAGATGAGTATTGCATCCTTCCTTCTAACAAATGTATCTCAAACATACTCCAAATGCATTAGGGAAGATGATGTTGCCTTTTGCATGGCCCTTACTACATATCCTTCTGTTCAAGACTTTAAACTTTAGCAGGTGTGTCCAATAGCTGCAAGACTGCAGTGCTGTGCTGGGATTTGACCACCAGCATATAGATCCTGAGGGGTGTTTCCACCAAGAAGGACTGTTATTTGTGTGCCAGATCGAATCCTGTTCTCTGCAATTCCCAGTCCTCTTTTGCTATTTGATGCTAATAACATTCACTCTCCTGGTTGGGTGAAATAAACTTAACTTCATAATCAATTTACTTCTTGCTAAGCCTTGCATATGTTTAAATGGTGCTGTTTATTCTTCTGTTTCAACAAAGCCCAAACTGCTGTACAGTTAAATATAATCATTTCTTTATTCTTTCATATGCAGGCAGCTGAAGAAGTTGGATGAAGATAGTTTAACCAAACAACCTGAAGAAGTATTTGACGTGTTAGAGAAGCTTGGAGAAGGGTACGTGTTCTATTCCATGTGCCCAGTGTATGTTTCTCTAAGAACAGATTAGTGTAATGGGTATGTGTTCAGTGGTCTCTGATTTTTCATTTTTGTCATGATGCTGTTACTGCAAAGGTATGGACTAACATAGCAACAGTGCTTGGTTAGTAACAAAATAAAGAATTTGTTTCCCAAAAGTACGATATCTTAATCCAAACAGTAGCTTACAGCTCAGCAGCAGGGAGTTAAAACACTGTTGAAAGATGCTAATTTGGAGCTGATAGGGCTCTGTGGGAGCTCAAGAGGTTTTGTAGTTCATCCCTGGTACCTCCTGTGGAAGCTGCACAAAGTGGAAATTAACTTCTGTTGCTTGGTAAGGTAGAGCAGCGTGGGAGCACTCAGTGAGTGACATGTTTGCTGCCTTAAGCAGTTCATTTGAACAAAACCCGAGTTGTAAATCTGCCTGGATGTTGGAAGAAGCTGGAAATAAGACAGATAATATCTGACAAGAGCAAGCAAACCTCTGTGACCACAGCTGTAGTTGTTACTGATGCTCAGCTGGTACTGTATGCTGGGAAAAGAGAGAATCTGATTGGTTGGATTTGTGTAGATTTCCAAATTTTCCAGAGCTACAGGCAATGTGGTGGTGGTTGGCTCTTTTCTGACCATCTCAGTGTGCTGCGACTTACTTGTATTAGGTTTAGAAGCTAGTGGACTGATTATTTACATTAAAAACTCAAAATACTCTCAGCAGAAGGCCAGTTAATTTTTCACCTGGTGGCTGCACTTTCAAAAAGCATTTGCATTTTTAAAATGTTAATGTATTCAGTGTTTGTTTAATATTTTGTTTCATAGTTCCTATGGCAGCGTGTTCAAAGCTATTCATAAAGAAACGGGTCAAATTGTTGCAATTAAGCAAGTTCCTGTGGAATCTGACCTGCAAGAGATCATAAAGGAAATATCCATAATGCAGCAATGTGACAGGTAAATGTGTACTGCAAACCCCATTATCGTATGCAAAGAAAATGGCATTTAATCAAATAAAAGCCATGATGTTGCCTTAAATGTTTTTTAAAAGGCTGGACTTGTACGATCAAGTTACCTCGTATCAGCTGAGTCATGTTAACTGACCATTTGGGTAGTGTTAATCCCAGCACAGGTAAGACAACAAAAATGTAGCTTGCACTAAAAGAGCATTAAGCTGAGTTGAATAACCTTGCACTTGCTGCCAGCAGAGAGCTGAGCATGTGAGCGGTTACTGCAGTTCTGCCCATGTGCTATCACTTGTTGAGCATTGGTAACTTGATGGTGTGCTAGAGCAGCAGTTTCCATGTCCAGGGGGGTAATGACTTCTAAAAATGCTTCGGTGTGGACACAGAAAACTGTTAGAAGAGGTTTTTTTGTTGGCTTGTTTAAGGGGCACGTGGACGAGAGCCACTAACGCATGACTGCTCTTGCATGTGCGTAATCAATGTGCTGTCGCCTGCTTGGGTGGCAGAAGTGTCCTTCATGGCCTTTTTTTGCCTGTGGAAGTTCTAGCACAGTACAAGCTGTCTGCTGATGTGAGCATCCCCAGAATAACTTGTTGGTAGCTCTCTGGGCTGATGGTTGGCTCTTTGGGTTGTCTTTGCATGCTTCTTATGGCAAAAGATTTTGTAACAACTTAATGAAGAGCTCAGGGGTGTGGAAGACCTCCTCTCAAAGTGTGTCTAAGGCTTAGTTTAAATACACTATTTTCTTCTGGTATTGTGAATCTGGCTTTAAGAAACATTGCCTTTGGACATCAGGCATGGCAAGCCATTTAAAATAAGTTGCATTAGCACTATGGAACTGTGAGGCCAGTCACTCACTCTTACTGTGCTTCGCTCTCACTGTCTTTAAATGAAGGTGACTGGTGGCAGACAAAAAATGTAACTTGAAAACAATTTGTTTGTGAAAAATCTTACTGTGTAACGTGGAAATCATTACTAGGAGTCTCTTTCGTAAAAGAAATTAAATATTAACATTGCAAGGCCTGAGATGAGACCTTACAGTTAAGAAGAGCAGAGGGGGCAAGTCACTGGATCGTCGATTAAGTAGGAACATTGTGCACTGTGACGTGACTTGCCACTTCCACGGTTTTTCCTTAGAAAAAAATCAGCAGATTGTAGATTAAGTGCACTTTTGTTTCCTAGTTCTGTTCCCATAAATTCAGGAGTAGCCTTTCTGTTAGTGGTCTGCAGAGGACAGATAGTTATTCTGACCAACGTACTTTACTAGGATTTTGGTTTTTAGGCAGCCAGAGGTCTGACTGTGAGAGGCAGTCCTAGGTTGCACTGGATTCCTAAAATACATCCTGGACTCACTTGTGAAAACAAGTAGGTGCATGTGGTAGTGGGGAAACATTCATATTAATTAACATGATAACTATTTTCCAGTGAACTTTGGACCTTATTTAATGTTTCAACTTGGTTGCAAATGCTCTGCAGCAGCTTTACTGGGGACTGCTGTGGTCTGTTTCTCATTCCCTTGTCCTGCCTTCTTGCTTGCCACAGCACTGACCTTGCTGTAATCCAATTCAGGGAGCTAAACCAGATTGAAGCTAATCACTTCTTATTTCTACGGGATTTATTTTCAGATGGTTTAGCTCCCTGAACTGCCTTACTGGCGGGTCGGATGAGCACCACTCTGGGGAAGAAGCTTGGCAGGGCTGCAGCAACCCTGTGCAAGTTCAGACTGGTTTGGAATACTTTTAATCAGGGTTTCAGCGGCACTTCAGCTCTGAATTTCTAAAGCATACTTAGGGACTCTGCAGTGTATTGTGCTTATTCAGTTATGCTGGTGACTGATGTCTGATGCTTTGTTTTCTTCTTCTTTTTTCACATTTCGTAGTCCTCATGTGGTGAAATATTATGGCAGCTATTTTAAGAACACGGACCTGTGGATAGTCATGGAATACTGCGGCGCTGGATCTGTGTCTGATATTATTCGATTACGAAACAAAACCGTATGTCCTTTCTTCTTTGAATATGTAAATGGGAAATAGGGGTGTCCAGCAGCTCAGGGGAGCTGAGTAGTCTGGACATAATTCTCATGTTGTTCAGTGCCTGACACAACCATTGACCAGAACTTGAGATGCACGTCCTTTGTTCCTCTGAAAGTAAGGGAGTTGATGACATTGATAGAGTTTTGCTTATCTGGGTAATGTAATCAGTGGAGCAGATTTTGGTTTGTTGGCTTTCCTGAAAACCCAAACCAATTCCAAAGTAGAATTTGTAGTCTGTTTGACTTGACTTTGCTTTATTTTGGCTACTGCAGGATAAGAATTATTAGTTGAGAAAGGGTTACGGTATGTGAAGTGGTACATGTGTGTGCTGACTGGCATCTAGTTCTACGTAATGCTGTAACTCGCTGACTAATTTCCCCATTAGTACAGCAACCTTTAGTGAAGGCAATTAAATGGCAATTAGTGAATCTCAGGAAGCATAGACTGAAACACAATAATGCTACATCTCAGCAGCTGATGGCTTGGCAGTAACTTTTATTTTCTTTAGCTCACAGAGGAGGAAATTGCTACAATAGTGCAATCAACACTGAAAGGACTAGAGTACCTGCATTTTATGAGGAAAATACACAGGGACATCAAAGCTGGAAATATATTGCTAAATACAGAGGGACATGCTAAACTTGCAGATTTTGGCGTGGCAGGACAACTTACAGTAAGTAAAACCAAGATGCATGTGTACACTTCAGCTTATCTTTTTAACCTGCATGTGAGTGTGATGAGCTTGTGGAGACTTTGAGGAGTTGTTCTGAACTGGGTTTTAGCACTTTACATTGACATAATAAGATGCTAAACCAGCAACAGATTAGAGCAGAGCTTCCTCTGTGGAAACCTTTATACCCAAGTAATGGCTTGAGGTAGCATTTGCTGATTTCTGCAGGATATCTGTAACTTCTGTAAGCATATTTCAATTCCTCTTTGCAGCTGTCTGTATCCCAGCCTTGCTGAGCCTAATAGTGTGCATGTGAGTGGAAGATAATTAGGGTGATAATTCATTAATGAACATTTTTGACTAATACAGTTCCCTTTGCCTGGATCTTGATCCTTCTCTTCTCCTCAGGACACCATGGCAAAGCGGAACACAGTTATAGGCACCCCATTTTGGATGGCTCCAGAAGTGATTCAAGAAATAGGGTATAATTGTGTTGCAGACATCTGGTCTCTGGGAATCACTGCAATAGAAATGGCTGAAGGCAAGCCACCATATGCAGATATTCATCCTATGAGGGTAAGGACTGTGACCTTTTAAAAGGTATGGAAAGGACATCTTGCTGTTGTAGCTGGCTGAATAACATCTTGGTGTGCCACCTGCTTTGAATTTGTTTTCTGACAGTTCTTTGCACTGTTGATTAAATGAAAAGCAGGTCTTTGAGAAAGAGAATCTACATGGGAAAGAAAATCACAATCCTCTTCCATTAAGACATAGCTGAAGCTCCCTGTGTTAAGTGTGAAGAAATACATTTTCAGCTGTATTATCCAAAGTGATTTTTTTCTTTTAATGCAAATACAAATTTTTTAAGACAAAAAAAGCAGATTTGCATCACCTGGGGCACAAAATGGCTCAGACAGAAGTGTAAGCACCTAGTGAGAAAAGTCTGATTTCTTGTTACTTGATCCCTCTGAGCAAATTTATGTATAATATTGGCACAAACTCTTCAGAAGCAGCAAACTCGAAATGTCTGTTGTTCTTTAGTACCTATGTCTGTTTGTGTGTGTTCATGTTGTATTGTTGGAAAGCATTAAACTTTGTTTGCAAATCTGGACTGTTCTTCTGGTTTTAGGCAATTTTCATGATTCCCACCAATCCACCTCCAACATTCCGGAAACCAGAGCTCTGGTCAGACAATTTTACAGACTTTGTAAAGCAGTGTCTTGTCAAGAGCCCAGAGCAGCGTGCCACTGCAACCCAGCTTCTGCAGGTGTGCCTTTTCTTACCAGTACATAAGCTCTAGAGAAGGCTTTCTAGAGCAGGCAGTGCCCCGTGGCTGTTGAGATCTTGGTTTCATTTCTTGCTACTCTTGCTCACTACAGACTTTACTTTTTAATATGTCATTTTGAAAATCTTACACTCAACTTCAAATTTTCAGTTCTTTTCTAAGGCCCAGTCTGACTTCAACTTCCCATCTGTGTCTTCTCTGGGTTGGGTTTTTGTTTGTTTGGCTTTGGAGGGGTTGTTGCTGTTGTTTAGTTTTGGTGTTTTTTTACTTTAAAGTTTTCACCAGCACAGCCAAGAAACTGCCTCTTAAAAAAGGGGATGCTAAATGAAAGTGATTGCTCTGAATGGTCTCAATGGTGATGATCTGTGTAATGGTTCTTGACATCTAAGCTGCTCAGGAAAGTAAGTGGAGTTGTGGAAGGGAGTGAGCCAAAGGTCTCACAGCAGTAGTAGTGCCTTTGGGGCATGGTCTTGTTTGGAGGTCTCCCTCCTCTGCCAAACAGAAGTATTGGATTTTTATTTTAGTAATGTATTAAACCTTAACTTTGATTGGAAGTAGACTATAGTAACCATGTTTTATAGTTAGATCTTGGCTTGGGTGCAGTGCTTATTTGTTTTCAAAATCTTTTTCAGCATCCTTTTGTTAAAAGTGCCAAGGGAGTGTCAATTCTGCGAGACTTAATAAATGAAGCAATGGATATCAAGCTGAAACGTCAAGAGGCACAACAGCGTGAACTGGATCAAGATGATGAAGAAAATTCAGTGAGTATTTAACAGCAACTGTGTACAAAGTCCAAACTCTTGCTCCTTTCATAAGGCTTAGCTGCTTTGGTTTTTGTTTTGGCAATATTTTATCCACTTGCTCTCGAATTTTATGCAGTTACTGAGGTTTATACTTAACCCAATGCTTGGTCCCTTCTCAATCTTTATACAGTGGGATAGCAAGCATGCATGGCTTGCTGTTTAGCTTATAGTGTAGCTCCAGACCTGTGATTGAATAGGTCTGCAAAGGAGTGTATGCAGAAGACTTGATGTATTTTCCCAATTGGATTATATTATTTATTCAGTAATGAGAATTGTTCATTGTAGATTTAGGTCTTAGACTGCTCTCCTGGTATAAAGTAATAATATCACCTGTGATGCACTATGATATAAGTATGTTGTGTTGTTTTACTATTGTTGTGCTTTAGAACCTCCCTTATAGAAACTTTCTACTACACAAGAGCAACCGACAGAAACCTGAGGTGAGGGCATGACAAGTGTCCAGGGGATTGCTGTGAATTTAAATTTGAGCTCCTTGTTTCAGTGGTTACAGCATGTAAATATGGCAAGCATGTTGAAAGCTGTTTTTTGAGCCTCTGCCTGCTTCAACCTGAATAAATGAAATGTGCTACAAAAGGCATTATATGCCAGACCTTTTCAGAGGTTAGACTTGAACAGCATGGCCCACAGTCTGGATGGTGAAGACATTGTTCATCTAGTTTTCCAGTTTAGGACTGCCTATTTATTCAGTGTGGAAGTAACTTTACTGGTCATGTTGCCATGATGTTGGCTCTAAGAGTATTGTCCCTAGTCTGTATTTCTTCATTTCTGACTGGTCTGGAGTCACATTGCTGAGAGATGATGTCTTTGTAGTGGAGTTGGTCTCTGTCAGTGTGTGTGTTCTCTTGAAGCTTCTCTACTCCTTGTCGGCTAGCAGAAAAGTGTTCCTAAGCACTTCCCAAGTGCTATGAAAACTCCTGCTTTAGTCCTTTGTTAAATGATGTGTAGCTAGCAAATCTGTTACTTCCTCTCACCCACTCATCTCCACATAAAATTACTTTTCCTCCATTAGCATTTCATGTAGTTTTCTCCTCCTTTTGCTATTGGTTTTGAGGCTGGGAAGTAAATGATGTAGACACCTTTGACAGAACAGATAAAATGCATGGAACACCAGAACATGGAGGGGTGTACTTCCTTTCAGTGACATTACAGCTTGATGTGCAAGACCTGTGTTTTTCCTCTAACGCTAATACAGATCAGTAAGGCCATGGTCACACATAAAGAACTGTGAACTTTATCCTCACAACCGAAGTTGAGTATCTCATCTAAGGTGAGATGCCTAGAAACCCTGCTGTAAACCTGGGAAATGACTTTCATTCTTTAAGTTGAATAGCTGAGCCACGTTTCCAAGAAACTAAATAGGTTGTGGAAATTTTGACCTTATTTGTGAAATCCTGGTCACAATCTAAACTTAGTGAAGCACACACCACCTAATGAAACTACCACCTCTGGCTGACTTCCTGGGCCGGGAAGTTGTCCGACCAGAATTTGTTTCCGGAGCTTGTGTTTTCCACAGAGTCAGTCTCTTGAGCCTTGACCGCTATAACTCAAACTTGTATAGCATTAGCACCTGTTAGCAAGTGAAAAGATAAGAAATAGTTTTCATGCAAAAAAATCACTCACTTTAATAATTTCTTTCATTCCTTTTAAAATAATTTCAAATTCAGTTCATTTTTATTCAGTGCTTCTGAAGTTGATAGCAGGTAAAATTACCTGAATGTTAAAGACAGGCTCCTAATAATTTTTCATCAGTGTGCCACGTGCACTCTAGGCTTAGACCTATTGCTAATAACTAGTGACTCCTCAGTGAACTGTACCACTTGAGACAGGGGTTTTAGATCAACTGTTAAAACTGGTAACATGACTAGGAACACTAATGACTGAAGGAGTGTAGTAATCTACTCTTGCAGAGGGTCACCAGGTCAGAAATGAGATACAACTTGTATTGAGAAACTTCTGATCATTTATCTGTTCTCTTACTTACTACACTGGCAGAAAAGCACAGAGACTTTTCATTACCTGTTTGGAGATGACAGGGAGAGAATTTAAGTGCATAAAACAAAATGTTGCTTCTGTGTGTATTTGTAAATATCTCTGGATTAGTAAGACTTGTCTGTATTTAAGGACACGTTCTTCATGGGCCTTCACCATCACCAGTAAAAATGTATTTGACATCCTTGTACAGGAAGAAGATGAAACTGATTCAGGTACCATGGTGAGGGCAAGTGGAGATGAAACTGGTACCATAAGAGCTGTCAACACCATGACTGATGGAGCCAACACAATGATAGAACATGATGGCACCTTGGAATCCCAGCTGGGCACAATGGTCATAAACACTGAAGAGGAAGAAGAGGAGGGCACCATGAAAAGTAAGAAAACATCTTTAGCTTCTAGAATATTACTTAAGACGTAATGCAGGCTATGATGTGTATTTCCAACCTGCTTTGATTTTTTTTGTGGTTGCTTTTAGTTGTAGGGAGCTAGAACTCTTAGGTGAATGCTGTCTGGCAGTGAAGAAGAGACCCTTTCTAGGTCCAAGTTTCAAGCCATTCTTTTTAGTCTTGCACTTGGTGTAGCTGATGAGTTGTGCACAATGTCCACCACTTTCTGTGGTGATCAAAACCCATCTGATTCTTGCTAATGTGGGGGGTTTTGTTGGTTCTTTGTCATTTTCACAGAACGTAGAGGAGTGAGACTAGCATAGGGTTAATAGAATAAATTCTGTTGCTTTAGCAGGTGATCTGGCATCTGAAAATGGTAAGTATGTGTCAGAATTGATGCCTCAAATTAAGGGCTATGTTTATAAAGTGACAGATATCTCCCAGGTTTCAAGCACAGCAAGGCATGCAGTGGGAGGAGACAGCATGTCTCTAGACTGGTGCGTTTCTTTAGCGTTACCTTAATCACTGAGGACAACTGAATAAACTCTGTGTTGCTGTTTTGAGGCATTCAAGTTGAAATCTGTTCTACCCTAAAATAGAAAAACTTAAAAAAACTGCAAGCCTTGTCACAGGATGGACAGGTTTTTAAATGATGTAGCTCATGGATATTTGCTCAGGGACTGAGGAAAGTGCTGAGTGGAGGCTCAGCAGTGGTTAAATACGACTATCATGGGCAAGGCTTGTTCTCTTGCACTCCTTCCAAAGACTTCCTTGGCTGTCTGCTTTTGACCCTTCAGCTATTGTGAGAGAGGAGAAAAATTTTCAACATGAGTTTTCTTAGGAATTTCTCTGTTCAAAGCTTTTTCTGTGTGGGGTCCTTCTGGAGCTTGTGGAAAGATGCTGGTTTTGAGGGTGAAATTTCATCAGAATCTGTTTAAAGTTTTCAAACTTTGACAACCACTGATTGAGCACATGAAAAGCCAGATGTGTCAGCCCATGTAGCAGGTTGTGGCAGCAAAGACAATGGAGTAATGCTGTTGGGCTTTGTGGAACAAGGTAGCTTTGGCAAGGAGACAAAGGGATGCTTAGAGTAGCTAAAATGTCACTTGAAGAATGGGACGTTAACAGCCTTAAACCTAGAGCAATTGCAGTTTCTTTACAAATAGACAACACTGTTAGTTTCTCATTGCCAGTGTGTATTGTTCCATTTGGTGATTCATGATAACAGGGGTTTTACTATTTGTGGTGCTCCTGCCTCGGCTGCTAAAGGTGTGTAAGTGCCTCTTCAGTTGATCTTCCTGTATTTTAAGATTGCAGCGCTTGTAACTCAAAAGCATCTAATGCTGGCTACAAACTAGTGTGCAGAGATTTAGAATCATAGAATAGTTAGGGTTGGAAAAGACCTTAAGATCATCTAGTTCCAACCCCATGCCATGGGCAGGGACACCTCACGCTAAACCCTGCCACTCAAGGCTCTGTCCAACCTGGCCTTGAACACCACCAGGGATGGAGCATTCACAGCGTCCCTGGGCAACCCATTCCAGTGCCTCCTCACCACTCTTACAGTAAAGAACTTCTTCCTTAGATCCAATCTAAACTTCCCCTGTTTAAGTTTTAACCTGTTACCCCTTGTCCTATCACTACAGTCTCTCCCCAGCACCCTTATAAGCCCCCTTTAGATACTGGAAGGCTGCTCTGAGGTCTCCACGCAGCCTTCTCTTCTCCAGGCTGAACAACCCCAACTTTCTCAGCCTGTCTTCATACAGGAGGTGCTCCAGTCCCCTGATCATCCTCGTGGCCCTCCTCTGGACTTGTTCCAACAGTTCCATGTCCTTTTTCTGTTGAGGACACCAGAACTGCACACAATACTCCAAGTGAGGTCTCATCTTTGAAGAGATGCCTTTGATAATATCTTTTGCAAGGGCATAGTCTCATTTTGAGTAGAATCAGTTATGAGAGTATAGCAGTGTCTTCAATATAGTGTAGTATCTAACCTCAAGAGGGAGCTCCGGAACTAGCTCTACATCTCTGTGACTTGAAAGTCGAGTTATTACTTTAAAGCTTCCTTAGACTTCAGACTCTAAAGCACTCTGTTCTTCAACTGCTGCTGCATCATGGTATTCAAAGCTGAGTATGCAGCAGAAGTGCCTGAGCAGCTCTGCCTGCTGAAGGAAGTGTTCTGAGAACCTAGGTGCAGGTGATGGTTGACACTGTACCACATTTGTGTCGATGGGTGTCACGCAGTGATATCCAGTGAAATCCAGCTGTGCTCAGCACACTCGGGCTGTGCTGTGTTTTCATAGCTGGTACCTGCATTCCAAGAAATGTGATGTTAATGAGTATTACTGTACCAGACTAAAACTTCATTTTTAACACCTTATTTTCTTCCTTTGCCAGTCCTGTAATTCTGGAATACAGGCTGCTGCACAGAGCTGTTCTGTGTGTATTTCTCAGCCGCACTGCAAGGCAATGTCTTTGAGCAGCTTGCCCTTCATGTGAATTGCCTGTAGCTCCATTTTTCAGCTTGCCATTTCGATATTCGTGTTCTCATAACAGTCTGTTAAATTGATTTAATGGTGAAGCTCATCAGCCTGCTGCAGAATTCTCTGGAGCAAGTTCTTTTTGTAATCTTAAATATAAATGTAATAATGCTGTTTGAGGTTGAAGAAGTTTCATTGATTTGTATTTTTAAAGACATCTCTATTTCATTTGGCAGCTTGTGTTATGACTCACAATAAAATCTGTTTTAGGTCAATAAAAATGTTCTGATTTTTCTTGTATCGCATTAGGAGAAGAATTTAGCTTCCTTACATGTCTTGGGTTTTTTAACTGCAGGCTTCTGAGATCGTTCTCTAGCGCTTCTTCCTACTTCCAAAATACAAATCTCTGTCTTCACCAGTTTTTGGCTCGGTTTCATTTATTCTTAATGTAAAAAGTGTTTATAGGATACTGAAATACAATGCTTTTGATAGGATTGTCTTAGAAATGTTCAGCAAATAGCTTTCAATAGCCTTGAAAGTGATTCTTTTCATAAATCAATTAATGACTTTTCAGGCTCAGAGGAAAAGCATTTGTAAATCCCAGTATATTACATTGCAGGGGAAGTTTAGTTTTGTGGTCAATTGAGCTGTAATTCTGTTTGCTTAAATTCTTTCATTTGCGTGGCTTTTTTCTGAGCACTCAATATAAATACTCTGTCAGCATTAAAAATGTCACTGTGACATTCTGTTATGCGTTTTGAAAGCACTCAAGTGATTGCCTGAAACCGCAGATACTAAATTGTGCTGTGATGCATTTTACTTATAAATCGATTGCTAACAGATTACTTCTGGATTGCAGTTAAACTATTCCAAGGAGACTTTGGAAGTAGCTGAAGAGCTGTAGATGAACAATGATTTGTAATAAGACATTTCCATTGTGGTTGAAAGCTGGACTAACTTTTGAACTGTTAATATGTCTGAAAAAATCTTTTCCCCATTTTTCTATGAGCGAATACAAAGTGCTAGTAAACAGTGCAGCATTTTTTACTCTTTTTGCTTTTTCTACTTTATTTGCTATAGGTCTTTAGATAGTGGAAACTTGGCATGAGTTTTTCTCTTCAATTTAGAGAGTGGAACATAATTTTATAATATAGCAGATAAACATATTGCCTTCCTTGGACACTGCAATACAATCAGATCCAAGTGAAATAGGATCTAGTTTGTCTACTACTATAATCTGTCCTCTTTTCTACTTTAAAGGGCCTCTTGCTTGTTTAAGCACCAAATAAAATGACCCTGGAGAACACAGAACTGCCAGCAGTGGTGTGCATTGGGCTGTCTGGTTTTGAGATTGAAATGAATGAGGGATCTGGAGATGGTGGAAGAATTGTGGGTGTGGGGCTTTATTAATGCAGCACGTATTCAGTAGTGTCTGCTGCAGAGGTAGACCAGAAGCTCTAATAACGCTGTTGCCTCTGTCTTGGTAATGTAATGTGCAGGTAAAAATTCTTCATAGTTTGTGAATGTTTAAAATAAAGAATTCTAGGCTTTGTTCTCATAATACAGTTCTGGGTGGTTTGGGTTTTGTTATGCTTTGAGCATGCTGACACTGCTAAGTATGGTTGTGTCCTTTCAAAAAGATATTTCCCCTTCTGGGGGGAGATTGGATTTCATTAGTAAATTAAATGAGCTAAGATGCAAACTTCACAATTTCCCATTAGAAAAATGACTTGAAGTAAAGCTTGTTAGTCTTGGTGGCTTTATGAGACATCCAGTAGGCGATGCTTAAACCTGAACCTGAGAACTGTTACTGCCAAGACTTAGGGAGCTTTTTTCCCCTCAGTAATTAACCTGTGACTTTTCTAGTAAAGCAATGACTATAAAAGCTGTAACATGAACAGCAAGCGGAATATGGAAGCTTTATGTGATTGTGTTAATATTTTAATTGAATGAAGTATTACTGGTATGTAGCTGAGGTAGCTGTCGGTGGTGTAATACCAGTATTTGTCAAAAAAAGTGCAGATTCATGTTACCCAAATACCTGATGCAGGTACTGTAGAGAATAGCTCTGCATCTTGTCAGGATTTACATCACTTGGGTATCAAAAGATGTTGGCTGTGTTTTACCTCTGGTTTCCTCCATAGACTATAGCTCTTTGTAACAGCTTCACTACTTAGAGTTATTAATGTCCACTGGTACAGTTCTGTGTTTTAAGTAAATTGGACCATTTAGGCATCATTGGGCCATTGAACACTCTTAGCATTATGTGTTTAAATAACACACTGTTTATAGAAACTCCTACACTGATTAAATTCTTCTTGACTGTAATAAGCATTGTACTGCTACTCTCAAGGTGTGGGGAATACAAATCTTCACAGTTAAGTCTTCCAGCTGTGCTGCTTTCTGAGTTCTATCTTAATAGTGTCCTTGCTGGCAAACTTGACATACACAGGGGCTAGCACAGGTTAAGGATATCAAGTTGCGTGGACTGCAGGCTGTGGTTCTGAG